AATTTAGTATTTGTTAATTTGTATTCATTAGTACAAATACCTAGACATATACTATTAACTTATTTAATTGATGCAGGCAGTGTAAATAATTTTTAGCACTTCAGAAACTAATGTAAAAATCATTATAAAGGTCTTTTTTCCCAAAGGACTAAGAATGTTTGATTATTAAAGGCAAAACCAATGACTGAAATATTTACCTTGAAATCTAAATACAAATTTTGTACATTTCAATTCTCTCATTCGCATAATGCCAATTTACCTCAAAAAGATTCTGACAAGACAAATGAAGTACCAATTTCGATATATACACAAAATTCTAGGGAAATGTTTGACTATGTCAACTAACAATTTTAGAGGGCATTTTTCGTCAAATATCCTTGTCAAGTATCCTTGACAAAAGCATAGATCAATCCAAACAAGGGTTGATCTTCTAAGTTTTAACAAAAAGCCAGTATCTTTTGGGGGGAAAAAAAAACACTGAATCAAAATAATAAGCATTATAAAACCTGCATCTAACAAGTAAAAAGCACTTCACAAATATCAATTAAAATCTGTAACTGCTATGGCAAAGTTAAAAATTATATACACAAGTTAAATTAAGGTTTCATTTAAATGACTAGCCAAAGTGTCATAACAAATCAGCAACAAAGAGAAACAGTTTTTAAAAAGCTATCATAGGAGTGATTATATAATACAGTATCTTTCTTCAGGAAGTAGATTTCTCAAAGCAATTGGCTGTAAGCAACTAGGAGCACACAGGGATGCATCTTTAGAAGACCAGTAGGCTTCTTTTATCTTCCCAGAACTACTATGCTCAGGGGGCTGTATGAAGTGACAGGCAAGTATCAAACCTGGGGCTCCCACATGCAAAGAATTTAGATTATGGGGCTAGAGCAATAGTACAAGAAGCAGGACATTTGCACTGGAGGATTTCTGGGTGTGGCCCAAAACAAAACAAAAAATTTCAGGCCAGCCTTGAGCCATCTCCCCAGCCCTAAAATAGAGCATTCTTTAAAGTTAAATTTTAAATTGTACTCTAGAAAACATAAACCAGAGCAAAGAAACTCTCTCTCTTTCCAATTGCTCTTTCTTTGTCGTTTCGGGTCACACCCAGCGATGCTCAGGGGTTACTCCTGGCTCTGCACTCAGAGATAACTCCTGGCGGGGCTTGGGGGACCATTTGGGATGCAAGGAATCACTACCTGGGTTGGCCGCGCGCAAGGCAAACGCCTTACCTGCTGTACTCTCACCTTACCTGCTGTACTCTTGCTACTGCCCCAGCACTTCGAGAGACAGCAGTGGGGAAGGTGTCTGCCTTGCAATCGTCCTACCTGGATTCAATCCAGATGCCCCATATGGTCTCTCAAGCCCATCAAGCCAACCAGGAGTAATTTCTGAGTGCAGAGCCAGGAGTAACCTCTGAGAACTGCTAGGTGTAGCCCAAAATCAAACAAAAAAATCAGACATGGCAGGCTTAATTTACAACTGAGCTACAGGCTGTAAGGATAGGGTTAGAGTTGGCTGACGTTCCGTCACTATCACAGGAAAAAGGTCAGTGCAGACATGGATGTGTACACACATATACATCATGTGTACATGTGTCTCATTTAGAGCACAGACTCCCAAGAGCACCACTACGTGTGATCCTTAAGCAGGTTGTGCCCAACCATTTACCAATATATATATATATATATATATATATACAAATTATATCTATATAACTAAGCTTCAGGTCCCTTTGGCAAAAGAGTGCATGACTCACTGCTTTAGAATTCAATGGGAAAGAATTGGAAAATTCACTGATTGCCCCAATGCTTTTACTGTGGATTTGTTTTTTAATACCTTCCCCCATCTTAAGGCTGATATCTTTCACAGTTTTCATATCAATTATAGTTTATTTAGTTCATATTTATTTTTTAAAAAAGGCAATATACATGGACATCAAAACTACAAAACAGAAACTTTAATACTGATTTTTCCATTCCAAAAACATCAAATCTTATAAACTGGTTACGTCTTATATGTGGAAAAACAAGATACTAAATAGATGCACTAAAAAGTTAAACCCACCCAAGGGGCCGGAGTGACACGTGCACCCGACTTGGGTTCAATCCCCAGCGTCCTACATGGTTCACCAGTGCACTGCCAGGAGTAATTCCTGAGTGCAGAGCCAGGAGTAACCCCTGAGCATTGCCAGGTGTGACCCAAAATATAAAATAAAATAAATAAAAATAAATTAAAGGAGCCCACCCAATCTTATTAAAAGCTTATAAATAAGATTATAAAGAATTTCAAAAATTTGTATCCAAATTAAAAGATTCTACCACATGTATCAGAAACACAGATACTTGGAACTGAAGGTCTCTTAACTCCAATTTTTTTAAGCTTCTGATAAGTAATAATCTACCAAAAGCCACAACTCCGTGCTTTTAAAGCTACAAATACGAAATGTGAGATTAACATAATGAATTCCATCTCTAACCTTAGATCTAACTATATGAACCTGTTTCTTAACCACATTAAAAATAACAAAAATGTAAAAGTAAACCATACATTTACAGTTATAAGGTCTTCAAAATCATTAACCACGTGATTTGACATTCTTTTGAAGATTCTTGTTCACATGAAGGCTTGACACAAAACATTAAAGTGACCTACTCTCTCCTGGTAAAACTGACAAAAAGGTCCCTTTTAAAGGACATGAGAAAAGGTTTATATGAAATAAAGTCTGCAACCCATATTATCTCATGCTTTTTTTTACTCATCTTTGATGTTTTTTTAAAAAAATCAGATACACTGTTTTAATACAAACATAAATATCTTACTAGAATTTTGTAATATTTCTACTATTCCTTAGTTTATGCTTATTTCACTGAAACAATTAAAAAACCACGTAACATGGGTGTGTACATATGTATATATACACATGTGTTTGTTTAAAAGAGGACATTGCTTTTTACCCAATTCATCATCACAACTTAAAAGGGGGTAAAAACAAACAAACAGAAAATCTATTTTAAGATTCTGTTCAAGAGAAACACCTTTGTTGTCGTACCAATTCCAATTAGCATCAAATAATCTTACAAAACATAAGCAAGGGGAAGATGCTATGAAAGGGCAACTGAGCATTTCCTTGCTTCGGCTCTTACTCCACCCAGTCTCCTCAGCTCAACGGCTGTTCACACATCTACAAATATTAGCCGATTTTTAAGAACGAAGATGGGGAGTTGGGGGGAGGGGGGAAGCCAGTTGGCTGCACCAAAATCTACAGAAATATTTTGTAAAAAAAGCTGGGTTTCTTTCTGACTTATAAAAGCAATAGCTTTAAATTTGTTTTAGAAGACCACCCTTTTGCACTATCCACACAACGATCATGTGTAAAAAGAGCATAAAGAGATCATTTATAATAGAACACGAAAGAATAAATCATCCTAAATACAGATTTTTAAACAAAAATTTGCAACTGCTGATTATTTTGCAAAATTGTGTCCAAAAAGATACCCAGGAGATTAAAAGCTAATGCCTCAGAGTCAAATCAGAATATTTACAGTAAAGGCTTTTTTATATATTTTGTAGTCACTACAGACATACCTAAGTAGGAAATTTTCCTAATTGAGAGAGGGTGGACCCAGCACCGACTAAGCCCCGCTGCAGAGTGGGAGGAGAGAAGGCATAAAGTGAGAAGATACAGAAAAGAAATAAGGGGGAGAAAAAACTACTGTGGCAAAAGGGGACGAACGACAAATCACTGACATGAAGGGCACAAGCGAGTCTCCTCCACCCTCATTAGCCTCAAGATGAAATTCACACAAAACAACCCACCGCGCCAGATACAGATGTACCGAAAAAAGGCACAAAAGCTTTGTTTCGCCTTCAAAACGCCACGGATCGCAAGACGCGTGTGCTAAAGCAGACGTGGGAATAACAGCTTTATTCTCTCCCGATTGCCTCTCCGGGGGAGGGGACCTCGGCATGACATCGCCCATTGAGAACGAGACCACAAATCTGGTTCTCCTCTTCAAAGGCACGATTTCCTAACCAAGGGGCCGGGTTAGAAACTGAGCTCCAGCTTCCAGGCCAAGCGAAATTTCCCTGCCCTCCTTCCCGGGAGTTTTTCTCGCCAAGTCACCGAAGAAAGGCGAAATAAACAAAATAAAACCGAGGCCAGCAAGCACCTTGCGCTCGGTCCCGGATCTCGCCAGCCGCCGCCTCCTCCGTTCCGGGGCTAAAAGGCGTCCCGCACGCCAGAGCCTTCGCACCTGGGCAGCTAAAGAAAAAGCACGGCGGGGGGTGCCCAGGGCGGTGGGAGCGGCGGCCGCGGGGCCGGGCGGAGGGCCTCGACGCCAGGGCTTCCAGCGTCGAGAGGCCAAGTCCCGCCGGAGAGGCCGGAGGCGGGCTGGGAACGCGGCCCCGGCTCTGGGTGGATGCTGCGGCGGGGCTCGGTGGTCGGGGCGGGGGATGGGGGTGGGGGGTACGACTGGACCACCGCAGCGCGGCGCGGTGCAAGCCGGGGGTGGGCCCTCCGCTCCGGGATCGGCGTCCCCCAAAGGACAGGCGGGCCTGCGGGGGCGTCGAGGCGGCGCGGGGCTGCGCGCGGTGGCCAGCGGGGCCGAACCCTCCGCCCCGAGACCGGAGTGCGGGGCCGCTTTTCCACGCCCTTCCCACCCAGGAATACTTTTCTTGCTAAGTCACCCAGGGAGGGCGAGGAGCCCGAGCCCGGGCGGGCGCGGGTGGGGCCGCGGCGGCCCCGGCACCCCCCCCCCCGGGGCAGCGCCCTCCGCCGCCCGCCCGCCCGCCCCCCCGCCCCGCTCCCGGGCGCTCACTCAACGGCCGCCGCGGCCGCCATTTTGAGAGCGAGGAGAGAGAAGAAGAAGGAGGCGGCGGCGGCGGGGGGAGGGGAGAGGCAGGGAGGGAGGGGACCGGCGCAGCCGCCTCGTCAGGCCGCCGGCCCGGCCCGCAGCCACCCGGGAACGGCGGGGAAGGGCGCGAGGCCGCCTTACCGAGCGCTGCACCGCCGCCGCCGCAGGGCCTCTTCCGTCCTTCACGCCCATCCACGGCGGGGGAGGGGGAGGGAGAGGGAAGGGAGGAAGGAGGGAGGGAGAGAGGGAGGGGGAGGCTGGCGCGCTGGGCCCGGGCCCGGGGAGGGGGAGGGGCGGCCAGCGGGCGGCCGGGCTCCTCAGCCGTTCCGGGGCGCGAACCCAGGCCCGGCGCTCGCGGTGGTGTCGCTCGCGCCCGAGCGCTTCCCCTCCTCTCTCGCTCCGGCTCCCTGGCCCCGAGGGTCGCTGCTCGCTCGCTACCGCGGCCGCCGGACTCCGCCGCCGCCCCGCCGCTCCAGCTCCGTCTGTCACAGGAGCTGCCCCAACGCCCTGACGTCACCGCGCCGCCGCCGCCGCCGCCGCCGCCCAGGACCCGCCGGGAAGGAGGAAGGGAGGGGGCCGGGAGCGGATGGGCGCGCGCCGCGCATGCGCCGGCCGGGCCGGGCCCTGCGGCGCGCCGCGGGCCGTCTCGCCGGTGGGCGGCTCGGGCGGCCCCGAGGTGCCCGGGGCCCGGCCGGCCAATTTGCATACGAGGCCGCGCTCCGAGCGCCCCGCACGGCTGGGGAAAGGTGCTCGGTGCCTTTTCTCCTCGACGTTTGACGGTTCTGGCACTTTACGGACTCGGGCTCGGGGAGCCTCCACGCCCCGCGCCTGCCCTTACACGGCTCTCTCCGCGTCCCCGGGCTAAGCGCTGGCACCGGCTGACCCGGTGGATTCGGTCCGCGCTGCGCCGCAGAGTAAAGCCGAACCGGGATCAGGCTGTGGCCCATTTTGCCCTCCCGCCTCCGGGTTTATTGCCCATTTTCGGGGTCGCGGGGGGTTGGGATTCTGTTTTGGATTGGGCTGGGAAGAACTGTGGAGGGTAGAAGGCTGATGGGAAGCCTAACTGTCTTCCGTTTTATTGTAGATTTTTAACCGGATTTCGCTTTTAGATGTGAATCAGCTATTATTTTCCTTAGTCACACAAACAATCGGAGACTCGAAGTCTTGAAACTGACGTCCAAAGAAAGACCTGGAACTTTATTCTTCCACGCGTGCGCGTGTGCAAGCTGGTGCGTGCTTGCGTGTGCGTGCGTGTGTGCGTGTGTGTGTGTGTTTGTGCTAAATTGTTAGAATATTGATGACAAAGAAATCTTGGAGATTTGCAGTCAATTTATTCCACACAGACATTTGATTTAAAGAGGGTTGACAACGATTTGAATCATTCAATATGGGATTTTCTTTTAATAAGTATGAGGCGTGGTTATCTCATTAATTTGTATTGTCCGTGGAAATTCTTCCTGAAACATAGGTTATTGATCTTATTTCTTTATATAAATAAATATACTATATTTGGGAAGGTGCTGGGTTAAATGAAAGATAAATTGGGATTAATAAACTATTTCGCCAGCAGTGTGACCTTGGCTGAGTTGTTCTCTGACCTCAGTTTCTGTAAAAAAGATCTAAGGGCCAGAGGTGTGGTTCAGTGGCAGAGTACATGCCTTGCATACAGGAGCCCTGAGAGGCATGCCTGGCAAACCCACCCCCCACCAAAAAAATATATACATATGTCTAAAATAAACCTAACGCATAACTACATTGTGAGGCTTTTGTTTAAAAAGAAGAAGATGCTACCAGAGTTAAATATATCTGCTTAGTGGGGAATTATAGGTAACTTGTAACTATTATTGTTGCTGGATCCCAAAACAAATTCCCCATTATCAAGAAAAGTTGTGTCCCTTCTCTTGGTGTTCAAGGGCCAGTTGTCTGGGGAGTTTCAGTTTTCTCCATGAAGGCAAGGAAAGAAATCCAATGCTCTCTGGAAATTCTTTTCCAGGTTGCTCCAGTTAGGTTAAGGAGAAAATAAGGCAAGGAAACTGCTGTGTCCGGAAACAATCAATAAACAAGAAATAAATTACAACCTTTGTTCTACCAGTTCACCCCCAACCCTTCACCTTTATTTTTGCTTTGCTTGGTTTTGTTTTCTGGGAATATTTGGATCAAACCTTGGACTAAGACACTCATAATATGCACTCTACCACAAAGCTGCATCCTTGCCTCGTACAATAATCGTTTCCCCATCCCTCCACCAGTGCCCATTCTCCTCCACCAATGTTCCCAAAATCCTTCCCATCCCCCCCACCCCATCCCCCACCATCCTTGCCTTTTTTAGTTTTAAAAATACTTATTTGTGTAACTTTTAAAAATATTATTGTCTGGCATACACCACTTAATGTTTAAGTAAATAAGTCATTTATTTTTAATGACTTTTAAGAAAACAAAAATTGTCCAGAAATAATCAGAATCACATTGATAAAAGCACTGAAAAAATACAAATAGGTAGTACTGTAAATCTTTTGAACTTTGATTTTATACATGTAGAAGACTAAAATTTGTATTATATATGCAGTAAATTGATTTGAGCTTTTATTACTATGCAGTACTTCAAAAACCAGTAGAATTCTTTTAGAAAGTGTATAAAAACTATCTCCACCAATTATAATTTTTCTGAGCATAAAACCTTGCTAAGTATTTAAATTGCCATAAAGCTATGTGTTATGATTATGTGCACTTTTTAGTTGCTAAGATTAGAGATCCATCTTAATGAAAACTTGTCTACTTAGAATAGGATAGGGAATTATCAATCATAATTTATCAGGACTTGGACTGAACCTACAAAATCCATCCAGGAAACAATAATATTTTGGTTTTCTTGAAAAATATATAAATATCCATTGTACTTACACAATCTAACAATTTCCTCACTCATTTGAATTGAAAATCTTTATTTTTTCCATTGGAAATTTTCAAAATTGAAGCATTCATTTCAATTGATTCAATTAGTTTCCACAATTCTATAAGTAAGCTGACTGATATAAACACTCCAAAAATACTGGTATTGGAATTGGGGCAGAGAGAGAGGTCAGTGGGCAGGGCATTACCTTGCACATAGCTGACCCAAGTCAGCACCCTAAATGGTCCCCATGCCCGGCTAGTAGTGATCTCTGAGTCCCGAGCTAGGAATAAGCCCTGAGCCCTGAGTCTTCGCTGGGTATGGTCCCCAAACAAAAACTCTGCTACTGTGTGATGTCTCTAAAAGTAGCTCCAAAGCAAAAATTTGTTTACAATGACAACAAATGTTAAAACACTACTGTCCTCTATTAAGCTGTCCTCTAAATATAAACAATTGTTCATTTTTTGGGCTGGAGAGATAGCACAGCAGGTAGGGCATTTGCCTTGCACACAGCCAACCAGGGTTCGATTCCTCCACCCCTCTTGGAGAGCCCGGCAAGCTACCAAGAGTATCTCGCCCGCATGGCAAAGCCTGGCAAGCTCCCCATGACATATTCAATATGCCAAAAACAGTAACAACAAGTCTCACAATAGAGACGTTACTGGTGCCCGCTTGAGCAAATCGATGAACAACAGGAGGATAGTGACAGTGACATTTGATCTGCATATTTGATAAAAAGTAATTAGCATATGGTAGGAAGGTAGCTTTCAGGCATATACAGGAATTAAAAATAAGTGAATCAAAATCCATGTGAAAGAATCATGACTCAACTGGCAAGAGACTCATAGGATGAGATTTTAGCTAATTAATTTGTGTGCCTGCATTTGCCCATAGCACAGCCATGTCAGTGAGGACAGGTCTAACTAGACCAGGCATTCTTCACCTTAGCATCATGACATTCTTATGTGTCATGAACATTGGGAAGCCATAGAAGCAAATTAGAGGCATTTGAAAGGAGATGAGACTTTCATCCTGGATATAGAAGAAATATTTAGAAACCTTTAAAAAATATATTGGGGTCAGAGTGATAGTACATCACATAGGGCATTTACCTTGCACATGGCCAGTCTGATTTCAGTCCCTGGCACCCCATATAGTTCCCTGAGCACACCAGGACTGAACCCTGAGCACCTAGTCAGGAGTAAATACAGAACACTACTAGGTGTGACCAACAAAAACAAACATAAATAACATATAGGAAAAAAAATTGGAAATGGGTGGGTTGTATTGTGGTTGTGTGTGTGTATTGCCAGTGATCAAACCCAAGGCCTCACATTGGCAAGGCAGAAAAACTTTTTATGTATTTTATTTATTCTTAAACTATTTGTTGTTTGGGGGCCACATCTGGCTGTGCACAGGGATATCTCCTGGCTCTGCACTCAGGGATCACTTCTGGTGGGGCTCAGGGGACCGTATGTGGTGCTGGAGATCAAACCTGGGTCAGCTGTGTTCAAGACAAATGCCTGCCTACTGCACTATGCTATGCTCTGGTCCCCCTTTTTTTTCGTTTTGTTTGTTTCATTTTTGATTGCTGGATTCAGAGTCCAGAGTGTTAACCATTACACCATGGCTGGAGCGGTAGCACAGCGGTAGGGCGTTAAACACAGTAACAACAAGTCTCAAAATGGAGATGTTACTGGGCCTGCTCGAGCAAATCGATGAACAAAGGGAGGACGATGACAGACAGTTTTTGAACCAGACCCAGCAATGTTCAGGGCTTACTCCTGGGTCTGCACTTAGGAATTACTCCTGGTGATGCTCAGGAGACCATATGGGGTGCTTGGGATGGAACCTAACTTGGCCTTGTACAAGGCAAATGCCCTATCCACTGAACTATTGTTCTGATCCCAGAAATACTGTTTTTAAAGTGATATCATAAACAATACCAAAAAACTTACCAAATTTGGCCAGAGAGATAGTACAAAGGTTTAGGTTTAGCTGTTCCACAACACTAATTCAAATCAAAGAGTCACATATGGTCCACAGAGCAATGTCAGATTTCATCCCTGAGCATAGGACCAGGTGTGACTGAGCACTGCCAGGTATAGTACCCCACCACCATCCACATACACAAAAGACTTAATCTAATTCATTCATACGTCATCATAGTAGGTCAGGTAAGAAGTTAAAGCAAGCTTTCTTTTCCTTCTTGCCCTTTATGACTAAAGCCTGAAGACTGAAATATTCGTCCCCTCCTACAAGACTTTTATCTAAAGGGTTAATTTTGTTTCATATACGACCACTCATTTTTCCATCCAAATTATTGAAGTACATATTAAATATCCCATTATTTAGCTCATTTATAGATTAGTATGTTTCTCTAAAATAAAAATCTCATTTTAAGAACAATGACAAAAGACTGGAGAGATAGCACAGTGGATTGGGTGCTTTTCTTACATGCAGCCGACCGAGGTTCAATTCCTGGCAATCCATATGGTACTCCAAACACCAACAGGAGTAATTTCTGAGTGCAGAGCCAGAAGCAACCTCTGAGCATCACTGTTTATGGCCCAAAAAAACAAAAACTAATTAAAAACAATGACAATACTATTATTGTACCTAAAATAAT